ATGCATGTATATATGTTTGTATACACGTGTACAGCATGTATGTACTGCAGGCCTCCGCCCTGAGCTTCATCCCCAGCAGCAAGCTCACGGCTCCACCCAGAGAGTGCCCACACACCACAAAGCGCTTGTAGTCATGGGCATCAATTGCTTTCCTGGGGCTTACGCAGGCACATATAGGATCTTGGAGTACTGTCCTTGCCATCTTTTCTGCTGTCAGCTGCTATGTTTCTCCTTATTCATCCTTCTCGTCCCTTCGCATTCGTCCTACTCGTGGTTGTCAGCCGGCGCCCCGCAGAATGTTTCGGGTGGCTCGGGGTCGAGGCTTCAAATTACGGAATCATGCAATCAAAAGCACACACGTTGAACCATAACAGTAAGAATGCCGACAACATGTACAAAAGCTGCAATGGACTCTGTCTCTGCTTGCAGATGGTTTGCAGATGTCTGACTCCACTGGCAGCCTTTCTTTCCAAGTCCCGAAAATGCGAAGGGTTCGCAGTTTAATTTGAGGGTTTACGTAGCTTTGAGAACTTCCGGAGACAAGCCGCAAGACCTGAGGCTGTGCTTCCTCCCATACAGAAAGCACTGCTCCAGCCATTCCTTCATGAGCAAAGCCGTGCAGAAACTCACAGTTGCTGCAAGCCAGGTCGGTTGCAATGTCAGCGACATTCCTGGGCCAAGTGAGGATTGGGCTCCTTGCTTGACCCCGGAACGTTAAATCCTCGCTGGATCGGGATGCCTTAGCATGAAGCCTAAAGTGTTAAATGGACGCAACCACAATCTCAAAGTTGTCTCTGCTCTCTATGCTGGGGTCCTGCCGGGTCTCAGACTCCGATTTTTGCAGCTAAAACCAGGTACTGAAAACAGCGAGCGTCGCAGAGCCCCGAATGGACAGAATCAACTCGCCATCATCCTCCAGCAGTATCCACCACGGCTTGAAGCGGTCTGGGGCTTTGGTCTCCTGCGCACACTGGTGCAAAAGGAGTGCACATCTGTTGCAGAGGATGACTGGGGCAAGGCTCGATGTGCCCCGTCCTGGGCCTCCTTGCTCAAGGTGCCACACGCCAGCACCTGTTCCCCCTCAATCTGCAGATATTTCGTGGCCGCGACCTCCGGTCTCTTCTGGTCGGCGATTTGGCTAGGCGGAGGGATCGTGCTCAACTTCCCTGTACGCCCGCATGAACCGCGTATTCGATCGGCTATTAAACTTCTGCTAGAATATTTGTTCCAAAGAATCGTACATTTGGTCACGAGCCTCGTCACGCTTTGCCCCGTCAGTGGGCCAGGCGGCGTCCCGCAGCTGGAGCAGCCCCACCAAAGCCAGCAAGTTGGCGCCGTAGGACGCCACGGCCATGCGCGTGAAGCGCAGACCCTCAGCGAGCCGCTGCCTGTCAGAGACCAGTGGCACCTCCTCGCCAGGAAGCTCGAAGCCGGCACCCTGGAGGCACTTCAAACGGCCAAGGGCGAAGAGGTGAAGGAGAAGCGTTCCTGGGCCAAAAAACCACCCCAAACTTCCCACAAAGCCCCTTCACATCATGACCACGTTTGTACGATCACTCTGTTTCCCGATCTCCAATCCCTGGCGAGCTCGGAACTGAAACTACACGCCCATACTTGCGGTACCAAACGGGCGGAGTGTAAACTTTGTAAACAGCATCTACACACATATGCCCATCTATCTATCTATATCTATATCTATCTATCTCTTTCTATCAGTCTATGTATACATAAGCATAAAAACATATAACATACTACGTCGACAGCCCTGCGATGCCCGAGGGGAGAGGCCCCTGAAAGTGGGCCGACACTCGGGGCGCGCAGGGGTGCGCTATCGCGGGAAGGCTAGCTTGAAGCATTATTATAACACATTATGATCTCCTATCACATACATGGAATGTAATAATGTAGGATAAGAGAATATGACTTTACAACGTTCCGATGAGTTATCACTACTCTTCGGCTTTTTTGAACAAACTCCGAGCTATTGCGAATAGTTGCGATTTCTACACCATACAACGCCAAAGCTCGAAACTCTGACTCTACAGCCTTAGACCCTTAGGCCCCAAACCCGAAACCCTGAAACCCTAAGTCCCTAAACCCCAAAGCCCCAACTCCCACGACCTCTTTCTTACTCTCCCAATAAGCCCCAGAAATACAAGGTTAAACTTTCCGACTCCTTCTAAACTCCTAGAACCCAAAAAAATTAAAGCTTGGGTACAGGGTATCTAAGCTTTCCGTTCCAAGGATCCGCTTTGGCCGATCTTCTCGGCCTGAGAGCTGTCAAGAGCTCGTCGCTCTTCGAGCTCCGTCTGCAAGAGGTCCCACACCTGAAGGGGTGCTCCGGGATCCCGGGCTCCAATGTAGGGGCCTTAATACCTGGAACAGGGCTTTGGGGTATAGTGTATTATACTACAGTGATAATGTGGAGCCTCCAAAATTGTGTAGGTAACTATTTGGGCTCCTACATTAAGCACTTTAGGATTTTCGGGTTGAGGGCAGGGGAGCTTTGTTTGAAAAGGCCTTAGAGGCTGAACGTAGCTTTAGGGTTCGAGGGCTGGGTTTAGGATTTGAGGTTGCGCCAAACCCGAAAGAGAGCAACTGCTGATGGATGAAACCCTGCATAATAATGAAAGGGCTGATTATTCATCAGTCGTACAAAAACCAGCTGTTTCTGCTAGTACTGCAGCTCTCCACTTCAGTCAAACTCAGGTCAATTGATGTTGCTACCGTCACTATGGTCATCTGCCTTTTGCAACTACGGCTACGAGTAGCAGTCTTTTGGCTCAGCAGACCTGCGACACGGTCTCGGCTAAGTTGCCAAGAGCTGGGTCCACCCGTCGCAAGACACGGATGACCTGCTGCAGAGATGGCTGCCTGGGGCGCGGACAGAAGAAGACGCAGGCAGCACGGAGCAGGATCGAGGAATCAAGGCGACAAAAGAGCGAATCATGAAGAAGCAATCTGTGCAGATTTGGGACACATTTCTACAAACAGTGCACTCTGTACTAAAGCTGATGTAGACTTGCACATGAGTTGCAGAAGTCCCCACCCGGTTGTTGACAGATGTCATTATTGCCAAAAAGCAGAAAGGCCTTCCCTCACGCAGTAGAGGCAGAAACGACATTCGTCGTCTCAACAATGCTCAACAACATGGAGTTGTATCGCCCCCTGGGACAGTGAAATTCTCAACTGGCCGGATGGAGAGAAGACTGACGATCGATGAAAATGCTCAAAACCCTCTGAAAGGCCTTGGAAGCAGTTTCTCGATGTTTCTCTTAGAGAGAAAACACTACACTAGGCCCTGGCCATTAGTTGTGCACATCTTTGCCCAGCTGCACCGGGAGCTTCGGAAGCCTCAGCCTCTTCTTGGACTTGAACTTCTTCCGCCAAGCAATGCCCGCAGTCGCACCGAAGGCCAGGGATCCAGCAATGATCACAGACCGGGTAGGTATCGACAGCAAAGCTGTGGACCCAGAGCCAACTCGCTCACCTTTGCCGGCCCGTTCGGCGAAAACTCGTGGAAGGAAAGTGTGCATGGGGCCCCTGCTGCTACTAGCTCATAACCCTGCATCATCGCCAAACCCCCAAAAGACCGCCTTGAAGAATCCTTCACCCCGTAAGCACCCACCCTATCTACACACCCCGCCCCGAACCCTAAACCTTGATCCATGGATCGACTCTTCAAATTCTTCCGCCGACTGCCCCGGCCTGGTGGTCCCGACCTCCATCTGCTCCGAAGTTGCCCACAGCTCAAGGGGCGGGGGCCACTCGCGACAGGCAGCGATGCAATCATCGGGGCTAGCCAGCTCAACAGCTCAAGGCACGCCCAAACAAAACCTCACCAAATCGCCTTTTTCTGGAGAGCTCTACAATATGTTGGGAGTTGAGAAGGGTTTCGTTTTTTTGGATCAAGCACACACACACGCAGAAAGGCTTGAGGGTGGATAGGGTTTTCTACATGACGCGGCTTTCGAAGGGAATGAATGCAACGCGAAGTCAAGCCTCAACCAGGGCAGCAAGAAGCATGTATGCGATCATCTGTGCGAAACATGTTAATCAAAATTAACAGCCTTGGTTAACACAACCAAGCTGCAAGCCAGAACAGCTGTGGCACGGCAAGGCATGCACTGACAAAACGTGAGACATGCAAATCGCCCCCCCCGTGCACATTCACTGACTGCCCCACAGCTGCTGGCTCCCTCGGGTGTACCCGGTCGGGTGTGCCCGGGGACATTGCCACCATTGGCCAGGTGTGTTGCATCCGAAAACCGGTCAAATTAAAACGAGTATTCTGCAAAGTGAAACTGGTAGACGTGCGAAGTTAAGCAGAACCGGTCAAAGTAAAACGGGCATTCTGCGAAGCGAGACTGGTCAGGCAATGTGCAAGGTGGAGCAGGAGGGAATCAAGTTGGAATCTGTCAAAAGAGGAGCCAACAGTCAGTTAGTAATTTGATCAGATCAAGACTTCTTCTATTGTAAATATAAAGATTGCCTGGTAACAAAACTTCGGGATGGGCTCAGGTCGGAATTGTTGTTGCCATCTCGTAGGCAGAAAGGGCTCGCAACCCATCGTGCACACCGGAGTTTTGCACGAGATGCAAGGATAGAGCAACAACTGAAATACAAGCTGCACAAAGCCTCACCGAGGTCAAACCTTAAACGAAGGCTGATCGCGTCAACCCCATCATGTGCAACTCATGTGCAAACTGCAAACTTCCATTCACAACTTAGTTCCTGTAGGCGCTTTGGATGTGGCAGTGAGCTCTCTCTTTTCCGTCGCACCTGCATCAATCGCTGACTCGCCGAATGTACCGGAGAGCTCCTCCTTCACACGGCGAAACCACCCATCTTCTTGACATCTCTTCATCTTCGCTCTTCAGCACGGCCTTCGAACCCTGCAGAACGCCGAATCGAGGCTGAATACTTCGCTGGCTGGTGGTGGAAGTGGATCTCGACGGGGAGCCGTGGTGAGCACTGCAACGGACTCACTACAGCCGAAGTCAACCTGATCAGCACGGGGATTGTTTGGAGACACAGAAGTATTCCGGTAGCCCTAAGCCGGACCCCAAACCCTAGCAACCCAGCCTTCATTGAAGACTTTGGCCATGTGCGACCTCGCCGCCAGCTCGTCCTTGAAGTGCCTGGAGCCAGGAAGTCGGGTCGCTGCCGTCGGCCCGATTTTTGACGAGTAAGAGGGGGAGAGGGGGGTGTATTGGGTTTGAGTGGGGACTTACAATACCCTAGCAAGCATTTGTAGTATAATACCGTATGATATTGTGTGATATAGTAATAGCACCAAAGTCTACAGACTGTGCCTCAGCTCGTTGGTCTGCGCCTGCACAGGAGCGAGGTGGCAAAACAGGCAGATCTCTTCGCCAAGGCCTCCGCCCGCCGCTGAAGGAAGTCCAGCATTTCTTCCAGACCTCGTCTGGCTCAACATGCTGCTTCTACTAGTGGATTTCGGGTTTTAGGGTTGTGAGTTTAGGGCTGAGGGTCTACACTGCGCTACACCCTCAACCCTTGGTGTTTAGGCAACTTGTCAAGACCCAGGTGTTCCTGTTGCTGCGGAGGTCTTCTCTCAACGCCTCTGAATCCGCGAAACCCACGAGGAGATCCCCAAAAGGAGGAATCTCAAGGCATGGACCGCGCATGTCGACCGGTTTCTCGTCCGACTTGCTCCAGGCGTCCTGGTTCGAACTCCCGGCCACCCTTATGCTCCGCAGCCCTATTCGAACGTTTCTTGTATTCCATCTAAGCCTACAGTATTACAAGACTGGTCTATGAACGGTATGTTTATTGGTACTTGTAACACATCTTCCTACTTAAAAAACCAGGGGAGTCTCCTCCGGCCAGGGCTGGGCAGCGGCAGCTGCCGCTGCATGGTGCCAGGCCTCGTAGGAAAGGATCAGCTCATCACTACTTCTGAAGGGTTCAGTTTGGGGTGCAATCAAGATACGGAACAGGCTCACTGGGTCTGTCCGCTGCTCTGAGCCCCTGGCAGCAGCAGCCATTCTTTGAGCAGCGCTGTCTTTCGGTCGCTCCTGGCAATCTACGAGCCACTAGCCTACCGGCTTTCCGCTTCGGCAGTGCATGCCAATGTTTTTCGGGTTCAGCGAGGCGCTGCCTCGCACGAGTGTGTTTGCACAACGCGTCTTCTTGGTCCCTGGCAGCCCGAGCCTTTGCTGGGGAAGCGGCAAGCCGCCTCGCAAGGCCTTCCAGCAGTTGCTCGTAGGCTTCCTTGAGACAGCTGGCACTCAGTGGACGAAGAGGCTACAAGTATCAGATACAAGTCCGAGGGGTGGGCCTCGGCTGGCGGCTGCTGCTTTCTTGGAGGGGCCTGCACCTGTAGTAGAAGGACCCATCAACCGACCCTTCAAGGAGTAACGCACATCATCACCGAGCCTGGGGAGGATGAGGTTCCTTGGCGGCTGGGACAGGCCTCACCGTGTTCGAGCGCTTCAGATGCCCAGACTTAGAGGATCCATCGGCGTATGGGACCCGAGAATGCCGGGCCCGTCACAGAGTCAAAGGCTCCGATCTGGCCAGGGTGGAGGGCAGGTAGGCCTCCAGGGAAGGCCTGGTCTGCAGGATCAACGAGGCGAGACTTCGAAAGTCTGCCACTTTCCCAGATGATAACATTGAGCTAGCGGCGACGATTGAACAGCAGGCTGCCACTGAACCTGCGGTCACATGCGGTCTCGCTGGCCCGATCCAGCCGAGTGTGGCCAGCGTGCGACTTGCAAGTTTTTGTGGACACGCGCACTGAAGACATCCAATCGCAATCAATTGAGTTACCGGAACTCCCGAAGTCAGATCAGGACGGCGCACCTGCGTTTGAGAGTGGATGGTGGCATCATTGTGCAGATTGTGCGATGTCCTTGTAGACAGGCCCGTCATTTGCGCAAAATCTCTAAGAGTCAGGAGACTTGTTGCCCACTCGTGTGACCCGCTCCATCTTCATCTGCTCTGACACTGCAAGTCTAGGCTACCCGGCTGGGGAATCTCTTCGGAGTTCTTCTTGATCTCCGCTTGCCGCGCGGCTTCGCGAGACCGCTGTAGGGCGTACCTGCGAATCATCTCACGCATGACCCAAGCAGTTTAGGGTTCAGGGTTTGGGGCTCCAAATCCCGCATGCAGAGTGGCCTATGCAAGAATCGGTGTGGGATGGTCGGACAGCAGGCGCACCGCTCATGCGTCCGCCAGAATTCAGATGCCAGCACTGACTGGCCTGGAGCCTGATCAAGAAGTCACGCAGTGCATTTAAACATACAGTGGCAATGAGATACTACCTCACTGAAACGGAAGCATGCAGAAGACCAATGCTTCTGCTGCCGCGGTGGAGGCTTTGAAAAAGAGCACCGTCGCAATGAATCATGCTTGTCCCTACACGCCTACAACTGAAGTCTAAACCAGCCCCACGAAGATCCACGAAGCGATGCAGGACCTTCACACCACGGCTTTTGGAAACCCACTAAGAAACTGCAGCAAGCCTCGTCTTTCTCAAAAAAACCTTGTTGCCACTCCCGACTCCCGGGCGCTCAAAAGCCCACATCTCCTTCCGAGCATCTCAGGAGATTTGGGGCCGGCGCCTTCGGTTTGGCCAGGGGCTCGGGACCTCGGGCAGCGGAAGGCTGCAAGTGTTTTCCTTTGCAGCTTCTGGGCTGGCCTTTAGGTTTCTCTTAAATGCCCTTGGACGGCTCTCCTTGCTTGCCTTCGCCTGACACGCCCTGAGTCGCGCGGCTCCATAGAGGTAGGGATGCGTCGCCGAAGCCGACCTCAGCAGCGAGAAAGACGAGCAAGGCCGAGGAATTCTGGCACCCCCTTGTACTGTGATAATACAAACATGTCGTGTATTCCTACCTACATACCTGCATACATACATACATGTGCGGCAAATGCGGGTTCACGCAGTTTATGCATTGTGTATGTGATCCTTAGGTGTGTGCACATAACGAATATGGACATGTTTAGAAAACAAATCTAAACATGGAGTATGAACAAAGATAACTCGTATTGGTATTTGGCCTTATAGGTCTACTCATCTCCATATCCATAGATATATATATATATATATGTATATATGTATATACACATGCAGAGTATATATATATATACATATGTAAATATATACACACATACACATGTACACACACACACACGGTATGTACAGAATACAGCAACTGCGCGAGACTGCATACGTTTGTACAGACATCTGCGACGACATGCTGTGTTGTCGCATTGCAACCACATACATATTATATACCTATACACATACTACATATACATACACACTCATACGCATACATACATGTACATATGTGTATATATATACACACTTCTACATTCCTTAACCCTTTGCGCCGAACCAGAACCACAGGGTTTAGATCAACAAGGCTTATATGAAAGGAACCCAAAATCTCATTTTTGTATGTGGTTGGCTTTATTTGTGTTTAAAAGTGTTTTTTTGTATTTAAAAGTATTGTTTTGTATTTAAAAGTTTTTTAAATAGGTTTTTTTGTGTTTTACAGTTGTTAAAATTCTTTTATTTTATTTTTGGTGTAAAAAATACATGTTTGTGAATTTTGTTTCTGAGTGAGTCAATTGGCTTCCTGTTGTTCTACCTGGTTTCCTGCTGCTGTATGTCTACAAAATTGTTGTTTATTTGTTGTTGAAGTTAATAATTTTTAAAATTTAATCTTTTTAAATAGTTTTGGGTTGTGATTGAACAAAGAAGGGAGGCCGTAGTGACATGTTGACTTGCCTTGAGACCTTGCCCTTACCCACACGGATCGACTGCCCATCTCGGTTCGTGGACACCGTTGGCCGGGTGTCAGGTGCTGAGTCGATGGTACCTGGACCGCCTTGGGGCCAACGTGCCAGGGCAGTGGCATATGACACCCGGGCACATGGGCTAAAGTGCCGGGTGGGGTGGTCCAGTGGTTGCGGCTTGATTTGTTCTCCCAACCAGGAGGGGAGGCCATCCATGCTTGTCACGTTAGTTAGGGAGCCTTGCGACTTGGATCGACAGAGGCAGAGTGCCACCTTACCCACACGGATCGACTGCCCATCTCGGTTCGTGGACACCGTTGGCCGGGTGTCAGGTGTTGTCGATGGTACCTGGACCGCCTTGGGGCCAACGTGCCAGGGCAGTGGCATATGACACCCGGGCACATGGGCTAAAGTGCCGGGTGGGGTGGTCCAGTGGTTGTGGCTTTTTTATTTTTCTCCCAACCAGGAGGGGAGGCCATCCATGCTTGTCACGTTAGTTAGGGAGCCTTGCGACTTGGATCGACAGAGGCAGAGTGCCAGTCGAGCCTCTCGAGGTTGCCTTACTTAAGTCCCTGCCCCATCGGGGTTGCTCCCCACACCGTTGGCCAGGTCTAAGTGTTCGGTTTGAATCCAAGCCTAGTGAACGCCTTCTCTTCCATTTCCTTCTCTCCCATCGGTCTTCATCGGCTTCCAGCCCATCGAGAAGTGGATGCCAACTGCTGGGATCTCAGCATCAGCTTGCTTCAGCTACTTCCATTATTATGGTACAGTCCTGGCACCGAGGCTCATGACGAGGATCCTGAGGACATGCTGCCATCGCAGAGGACAAGCTGCCTTGCATAGTCAGTGAGCGTGTCATGTATCGCAACTTGCCGCTGCAGCAGTTGTGCTCGCTGTTGCCCTGCGTAATCTACTATAGTCGTGTTACAGCTGCTCTGTCTCTAGTCTAAGTCGTAGTAGGCCCCCCTGCAAGCCGGCAGATGTCGTCGATGTCGTGGAGTGACAGTGAGTCTGTGGGCTCGGACTGGGTTCTGGTTGACGATGAGGGTGCAAGTACTGCGGGCTCGGTCGCGGACAGTGCTGACGACGATGATTATGTGATTCCGTTCGACGAGATGCTAGAGGAGTCCTTTTCGACATTGTGGATGTTTCTGGATTCTAAAGAGCGTGGGCAAGTCTTTCGAGCAGCCTTCCATATCAATGAACAGATCATGTTCGTACTGTTTCCGAGACTTTTGCGGGATTTTAGGCAAGGCAGAGTGCCAGGAATTTTATATTTCAATGTGACAGACGAATGGCTGTCGTCACTGAATCAATGATTTGTCGTGTTTGTACAGCCTCCGCGACCGTATCACGGATCTTGGGGAAGGCAGAGTGCCGGGTTTGCGTGTGTTTAGGGGATTTTGAATTCGACGATCTAGCCAGCAGAGCTAGACTGTCCGATTTGAGACCTCAGCGGTAGTGTGCGCAACTTGGATTCAAAACGGTTACCAGCATGACATGCTGACTACACAGTGCCGGGTGGCAGTGATGTCCTCAGGACCCTGCTGTCTCCGAGGCTGGCTGCCTGCCTGCATAGTCTGTCAGTGAGTTGACTTGCACCATACATGATCGACATCTGCCGGCCAGAGAATCAAGCGATTCATGCATACTGATGTAACAGTAGTAACAAAATGTTACATATCATTGATTAATGTACTATATAGTGATGCATTAGTCACTGTTAATGTTTTAATCGTTGGACAATTGTGTGCTCGATGAAAGCAGTGATGCCGACGACCTGCTCTGTCTCTAGTCTAAGTCGTAGTAGGCCCCCCTGCAAGCCGGCAGATGTCGTCGATGTCGTGCAGTGACAGTGAGTCTCTGGACTCGGACTGGATTCTGGTTGCCGATGAGCGTGCAAGCACTGTGGCTCGATCATGGACAGTGACTACGATGATTATGTGATTTATTTCGACGCGCTGCTAGAGGAGTCCTTTTCGACATTGTGGTTCTTTCTGAATTCTGAAGAGCGTGGGCATGTCTTGCAAGTAGACTGGCATATCAATGATATGATCCTGCACGTACTCTTTCCGAGATTTATGCAGGATTACAGTGAAGGCAGAGTGCCAGGAATTTTATATTACAATGACGTGCGAGACGAAGCTCTGTCGTCAATGATGAATCAGTGATTCATCGTGTTTGTACAGCCTCCGAGACCGCATTACGGATGTTGGGGAAGGCAGAGTGCCGGGTTTGCGTGTGCTTAGAGGATTTTGAATTCGACGATCTAGCCAGCAGAGCTAGACTGTCCGATTGGAGACCTCAGCGGTAGTGTGCGCAACTTGGATTCCAAAAGGTTACCCAGCATGACATGCTGACTACACAGTGCCGGGTGGCAGTGACGTCCTCAGGACCCTGCTGTCTCCGAGGCTGGCTGCCTGCCTGCCTGCCTGCATAGTCTGTCAGTGAGTTGCCTTGCACCATACATGATCGACATCTGCCGGCCAGATAATCAAGTGATTCATTCATACTGATGTAACAGTAGTAACACAATGTTACATATCATTGGTTAATGTACTGTATAGTGATGCATTAGTCACTGTTAATGTTTTAATCGTTGGACAATTGGGTGCTCGATGAAAGCAGTGATGCCGACGACCGTTTCAAGGTGCTCAGGGAGTTCCGAGGCAGAGTGCCAGACTTCTGCTGCTGACCATCAGAATCAGGCCAATCACATTGACCTTGGCAGTGATTACTGGAACGAAGCCGTGCAACAACTTCGGTGGAATTGTTTACACTGTGGCAGATCAGCTGCCGACTATACCACCGGGCTCCGAAAGATCCAAAGGGCTGCACAATTGGATCAACGAATCAAATTGGCAGTTGAGGCCATCTCAGATTTCGGAGATATGGATATGAAGTTGTACAAAGCATGGACCGGCCAGACAGATGTGCTGCCTGGGTCGATCCCGCCACCTCGGCCATGCCAGCATGATGTCGAGACGTGGCCCATGGATGATGTTTTGATTTACGACCATCCCCAGTGGCAACTGTTTGTTGGCAGTATTGGTTGCCCGATCCGATATGACCAGCTCCGGGTCAAGCCTGACATTGTCATCTCTATGAATGCAGATGACAGACCTCGGAATTTTGAGCCATGGGACTGGTATCAGTATTTGGCGAATTGTGGACCGTTTGGCACTGCACATCTTCGGTATGGTGGCTGGGATCAAACACATGCCAATGACTTTGATGCTGAACAAAGAAGTCATGAGTTCAAGACCATTTGGCGCCGCCTCATTTCAGATTTCAGAAAGATTATGATGTGCTGGCAGCGCTCAGCAGAGGAGTTCAGCCAGAGTCAAAGGCAGAGTGCCATCAAGGGCAAAATGATGGGCAAGGCCAATGGCGGCAGGGGCAAGGGCAAGACAATCAGCAAGGGCTACAGCGGCCCCTGTCAGGTTTCCAATCACATGCAAAGCCAGAAGGCATCGACGAAGGGCTCATTTGGCTATGGCTGCTCCTATGACAAGGGCTTCAGCAAGGGAAGTGACATGGGCAGCCTGTTCGGAAGAGCCGCTGATGGAAGGCAGAGTGCCGATGGAAGGCAGAGTGCCTTGAAGGTGGCCGATGAGACATTCCCTGGTGAGCTCGGTAATGCTCTTGCTTTGTTGGAGGCGATGAAGCTTCAGGGAGGTGGTCGGAAGCGTGGAGGCAAGAAGAGGCCAATTCGTGTGCTTGTCCATTGCTACGGTGGCATTAACAGGACCTGTGCTGCTTATTGTGTCCTAGTCATGGCCTTTGCCTCGATGACCATGGAACAAGCCATTGTCAGGTGGATCAACCACCGAGCCTACTATGCTCCATTCCGGGATCGTGAGTACATGATTGAAGCACTGCTGGAAATGCAGGATGAGCTGCACACGTACAGTTGATCATCGACACTGAACCCGAAGTCCATGGTCAAACAGTTCTGCTCCAATGAATGATTCTGAGCCGTCGAAATTTGTGTCCCGACACTGGC